CCAGGCTTAAAATTCCCCATCAAATTTCAATCAAATTTTTTACACTTAATACACCAGAGAGAAAAAAGGTTACTAAAACGTGACTTTCATGGCTTGATCGCATAAACCGAACGTAGTTTCAAACATTGTCCGAAACTTGCGTATAAATAATGAGTAAAAGCTAGGTGGATTGCAAAAGGAAGGTAATTGAAGTAAGAAAATTTAATCTCTTTCGTTAGCCAATAAGCGTTAATCAAGAATATGGCTTTCTATTGGAAAAGCGCTTTCCCTATTAGGTTAACTCTTTTTCATCAAAAGGGAAACAACAAAACAACAAACAAGCAAACAAATATAAAACTCACCCGGACAGTTAGAATGTTCTTTCTTCGCAATAAAATCTTGTGTTAAACCTAGAAAAAAATTAAGCTCCACGTATTATACCTTCAGGTTAAATCGATTCCCTCTAGGTGCGCATGCCTTGCGAATTATTTGCTAAATGGACACTGGCTTGGTTGATGAATGATAGAAGTTTTTCTTGCTTAGAACGTGTATGATTTATAAAGATTTAGAAAGAGGTATGATTTAATGGTTTATCAATAATTGTAATTACCAATAGATCGTTTTCACTCAAGTGATTATAGTAGCTCTTTGAACATTTCTCGAAAAAAAAGCAAGATTTTACAAAAGAATTTAGGTTTCAAGCACCACGGGGCAGTGTCTTCCTGGTGTACCAACATGGCGGCCGTTTCTTTTTTTTTTCACCAATATGGTCGCCGTGACGACATGCGCAAACGATCTTGCAAACAAATCATAGCAAAGGAAATAAGTCCGCTAATTACGAATTAAGATTTTTTTTCGACCGACTTCATTGCATGGATGAACGTTAATTAACAAGCTACTCACTAACAGCTTCGAAGGACGCATCAAATCCTTTTCTTGAGAATGTGACGTCTGTTTCAAAATAGATCTGCAGATGTTGACCGCTTGAAAACACGGTTTCCCCTGGTGATACACGACCGCACATACGCACGATGACGTCACTGGTTACAAGGGGGCCATCTTGAATCTGCACGAAATCCCTGTCACAGATCCGCAAGGGCGAGACGTCGAAATAAGTAAAGTTGAGCTTGATAAGATGACCATCTGGCACTGTAATATTCCAAAGTCGGATGATGTAGTCCGGGTAACGATCGGGGAAGTTTGGGCTTTTTATCCTTCCTGTTGTATTGAAAATTTGATATGAAACCGGAAAAGGGGTTCCTTTGCGGGTAAAAAAACAAAAAGCAACAAATTAGGAAATGCGTATATTATGTGTAAACGTTGCAAAATGAGTCATTTCTTTTTGAGTTTAATATAAGTTTATTTTGCGATAAAAATTAAACAATAAAATAATAAATAATAATAATAAATAAAGGCAGGCTTCACCCCAACAAAGCCACAATTAGTCCGATAGGTAATGCATTGTGAAATGATAAAGGAAATCACTACTGTAAGGAGCTTTAAAAATCGTACTTAACAAACAAAAACCTTTGTGAACTGATCCCATGAGAAGTTAAAACATTTTCGCGAAACGCTACTTGACACTTTTTCAGTCTGCCAGTCGAAGTCGTTTTACAAAAGTAAAACAATTCTCGGCACAAGAAATTGGTTTGAAACTTTTTTTCTTGGTATCAGTACATCACTTCTTACATAGTTAATTGAGTGGAATGGTTATGAAACCCGTCAGACTCCTTTGTTATATGTTTTTGTGGACCTGAAAGTGCACAACATACAAAAGAATTCCTATCATTTTGATTGTATTGACCAATAAAAACGTTGCATTAATTTATTTCGTAACAATTTGCCAACAGAAAACAAAGGATTGTGCACTTTCAGGGTGCATCCAACATAAACTGCAGCACTGTTGTTTTTATCATTGATGTTTGCCGCTTTTCATAACCAGTCTCCTCTAATAACTATGCTTCTTACCAGGCTATAGGTTTGTAAATAAATGTCATTGTGTCAATTCGCCAGTTTCTTTTCAATCGTAATAACCGAGCAAATAATAATAAGGCCTGACTTTCCAAGTTGCTTGACTTCGAACATGACGATGCAGAGTTTACATTTCATGTCTCTCTCTCTGGAATCACTATTTAAATTAATTGATTAATCCCAGAATCAGGTATTTTTGTAAGAAAATGCATCAAACACTCAAAAGGTTGTTGTTTTTTTTTTTTCTGATTTTTGCTTGTCGTTTTTCATTTCTCTGTGTTTAGATATTAGATAAAACACTCTTTCAAGTGTTTGATCCATTAAACTTAACAACTTACCAAGGCTAACCTTCCAAGTTGCTTGAAAGAGGAAAAGTTGAAGAAATACAGTTCTTCTGACATATGACATGTCTCTGGTTCTTCTATGGGCTGATTTAGTTGCTTCACTATATCAGTTTAGGAGACAGTGATAAACCTGAATTCAATGATAAGAAATTTACTCCTTAAAAAGTTGACACCTACGTGCTGATTTGATCATGATAATTTGCAACTTTTGAGTTTGAAGCCGGCAAAATCCTGTACCTCTCTCTGAACTAAGTGTCGTGCTGGACTGAATGAGGTACTTTTCTGATGCTCAATACGAATCGCTTGTAAAAGTTGAGTTTAAACTCGTATTGATCGATACTGGGTTGAAATATCTTTAAGTATCATATTAAAATAAAAAAAGCCGGCAGCATTTTCATGTTTTTCACTGACGACTTGGGTCTTGACATTTAGTGAGATGCTCAACTTAAACAAAGTATGGAAAACGGTTTAACTGTGCTTATCTTGTGCTTTAACTTGTGCTTTCCCGCTTTGGTTCTCTCTGGGTAGTAGTATTAACTAAGATAATAGAATCTGGTACTGTGGGTAACTCATTGATTACCTTCAGTTGGCCTTCACATTTCTCACAGAGTCACGGTAGCTGCATGCGCACATTACGTTTTTTACACGAACACTAGTTTTCTTTGTTTAAGTTTAGATTATATTTGGTTAATTAGCTTTTGATATTCGTATGACTAATTACTGCAGATTTTAACTAGAGAAAAATTTTCCCGTTTAATGTTTCTTTAGACTTAGAGGCGGCAGTATGAGTATTATATAACTTCGTCCTATTCTCAAACTATTCTGGCTTAAAAGGAAATACGAAAGAAATTATTGCAGTTAAAAGGCGACGAATTGTTATTACTGATTAGAAGCAAATAGCTTTTTACCAGTTTTGTAATGAAAAGGATGGTTGGCTCTATTTGCATTTATATAGTATTTTTAACCCTTTTGGCTAGAAACAGAGATTGAAGATTTGTCTGGGTCTAGTTTAATTTGTTGACAACTAGCCTAAGGTTGTCTCTTTCTTTTACTACTATTAAGGTCATTATACTTGAAACTACGGTTTATTGTGTTGAAGTTAAGACTCACGTCTGCGTACTCTCGTTTCGCCACTTAACTTTTTCACGTTTCCAAACCTTGGTGCAAAACGAGTAATGGTTTTTTCAAACATCAAGGCATACATTTGAAATCAAATTAGGTCAGAATGAGCTTCATGGATTTCACATAGATGTGCACTCACTAGTTGCCTGGGTATAACTGCATAAACAGGATATATGTTGCGGTTCAATTTTTCCTTGGTTTAATTCTATTTTCTGTTGTTTTGGCGAACAATGTGTATGATAATTAGATTGAAATAAAAGAAAAGAAAATTTAAACCGAATGGAACCACAACATGCATATACACATTGAAATGTATGACAGACCTCAATAACTGAATAAACTTCATACACTCTATACATATACATTATATACATTAACATTCCTTCTATTTTGTTTAAAAGTTGATCATCGCAGACCCTTAACCGAATAGAATACTGCTCTTAAACAAAATTTTACGTTAATACTATTTGTTTCCGAATTATTCCTTTACGCAGATGGTAAACGACAACCTTATTTTAATTTGTGCCCTCGAACAACTATTTCCCCTTAAACGGATTGTTTTGTTTTTAGTCTAGCTACGTTATATGATTACTGAGGATTTTATCTTTAATTTTGAGAAAAGCCAATGGATAATATTTTTCGTTTATAAGTACAATGTTATACCAATCAATAAGCTCAAACCAAAAAGCCAGGTTGTCTGCTGACGATAAAATTAATATCCCATTGTTGTGATTATATTAAGTAATTTTTACGTATTTTAGTATTTTTCAGTGCCAGCTTGTCTCAGGTATATTAATTCCAAATTTCTCTTCTCAGCTCGAAAATTAATAATAAGCC